TTTGTCTAAAGTTTCTCATGAGTTAAATGGGAGTAATAATAATAAAAAATAACCGAATTCTTACTTTTGAAGATTGAGTTAAAGCAAATTGTTTAGAATGGGATCTAAACTTTTATACAAAGACATTGCAGGATTACTTTTATTATTTTAACACTCATGATTATTTAAGAGACATGTCTCAGGTAAAAGCTGCTGTATATATTAATTAAACATGAATGTTTTCAATGATGCAATCTGGACTTGAATTAATAAGAGTTTTATCTTTGTTTTAGAAAGCAATTAAGTAATCTAAAATTAAATTTCACCTATAATTTCACAAAGGGAAGTCAAAAGCATTAACTTTCAAATTACTCTGTATGTGTGTGAGGATGTAAATAGTATTTAAAATCTCAGAAACCACCATATTATCCTGAATGCTTGATATTTTCGATTTGCAAGTTGGATCAGGATTTGCAAAATTACTTTATAAACAGAGAGTTATTGACTCTATTTGAAGAAGGCAATGTGCATAGTTTATCCAAGCTAGTATACATGGTATTTTTAGCTCTAATGAAATGTGACCTAGATACATTAATGTAAGAGATTAGTTTTGGAATTATTTGTTTATAAGACTAGTTATTCCCACTTTCCAGCTGTCTCTTCTTTCAGACTCTTGAGGCCTAACTCTACATGTAAATGTAATTCTTGGGAAAAACAGAGCTTGACCAAGTCTTGATTTTGACTTGAGAATTGCCAAATAGGTATTTGCTCCACATTTTGCTTTGCTTTTTTGGTTATGTGGTACACATGTGAGAACAGATCTATACTTCAAGAACATTTTAAAATTAGTAAGGCATGCAGGGAAAAAGTGCAGTATAGTATTTAATTATTTGAAAACAGTATAACCTGTGCTTTAGCTCCTAATTTTTCATAACCTATATTTTCATTTGAATGAATGAATTATATAAAATGATATGTAGTTTAAGTATATACAACATATTATATGGAATATATATGTAGGTATTTTTAAAAATTTAAATATAGTGAGATACTATTCTTGAAGTGATTCTGCTATTTCGCTTCAAGGCATGTAAAAATCACCATGAATCATGTAGTAGAAAGGTTAAGTGCTTTCTGTAGAAATTCTCGTGTCTCCCTTTATTAGTCACGATATATATCGGTTTATCCACACATCTGTTTATATGTGCTTATATGCTTATAAATAATGTATGTATGCATATTAGATATAGTTTTATATACCTATTACCTTTTACTAAGCTTAAAGATTCATGAAGCCCCCTAGGGCTTAAAAACTAGTAGTTATCAGTAGAAGCATGCCAACTAGGCCCTAAAACTGAATCCTCTACAAAATAACTGTTCAAAAACATCAGTGGCTTTTGTAACAATTTTAAAAATTATGTACTTTTGTGAGACATTAGGAAATAAAAGCACACAAAACAAAGATCCCCCAGTTCTTCAGCTTTTTAAAAAAATTCTTGGTCTTCATGTGAAAATTTCCTTAGGGCATTGGATGTTGGGGATAGGGACTATATAACAAGTGACCACTCCCTTCCCCTCTCATTTGTTGGGCAGTAACTTAAGCAGGTTCAAAACAGAAGGCTTTGCACTGCCCAGGCCTGGGTGGGGATGGATTTACTGGCAACCAATTAGTTGTCAATTCCTCCCCAGGATTGGTTGCCTTGGGACATGCTCCAGAAGGAGTGGGTGGGAAGCAGTGCTTAGTCACGACCTACACAGGCTGGCTTTCAGATCTCAGGCAGTTAACCTGCACTCTATCACAAAGAGCAGAAGAGAAAATCAGACTGGATTTGTCAGATGTTTGAGGAAGCTGGACTGTCCTCTAAATTTCCAAAGAAATTTGGCTGACCTAGTAATACAGTGAAATATCAGTACAGATACAGCTATAAAGTAGAGGTTTGCTGCTTGCAATCTGCTTTTCTGATTTCCTTTTCCTTTATTGTGCTTTGAAGTTTAGGTTACAGCTATCCAACATCAATAAAATTGCAAAACATTTTTGGGTGAGAACTAAAAATCAGAATTTTATAATGAAAATGTTTAAATCTAGTTTTTACTATGGGTCTTTCTCCAGTAAATGCAGACCTAAATCTGTGGGCTATTCTAATATATGCTTAAATAAAAAAGAAAATGGTGAAAATAATCCAAAACAGTTTGAACTTTGTGAAGTTTCACATAAGTGGGTCACATGTCCATGAAATTACAAATTTAATAAGGGGTGAAAATGGGAAAAGCTGTTTTTTCTTTTCCAGAATAAATCATCCCAACTGATAGAAATTTTGAAAGAAAGCAATTAAAACCAACATATATAATTTGGTATCAGAATCCAGGAAAAGGCCATCATGGTAAATATGAGAATAATATGTGAATGCAGTTACAAAAGAATACACATTCATCAAAGGGACATTTTGCTAGGGCATGGCAATTAAGACTGGGAAGAAACCACACAGAGCTCCACTTCCATGATTAAAATATCAACAATTTGTAGTAATATAAATGGAGAAGTGATAGAGATCTTAATGAAAACTGGTTCATAGAAATGGAAAATAGGAAATACAGTAGGAAGTGAACTGTTCACGCCAAGTATAAAACGTTCAGATCCCCCGGTTGCAGGGTTTTAAATGGCATGCTTTTTTTATCTTTGTGAATTTCAATTAGACTCTGCAATGGGCAAGTCAGGAAAAGAATATTAATGACTGGGGGAGAGCTGGGTGGTGTCCCACTCTTCACAGAGCCAGTCAAATAAGAGAGCAAATGTTTATTTAGGTAGTAGCATGTTCAATGTTCCTCCAGAAAGTGGTGATTAATAGGTTAAAAAGGACAGCTGGAAATATTTACGACGTAAAGGTTTTACTCTCCTCACATAATCTTCAAAGCAAAGCTAAAATTTACTGTAGATTAGCAGCGCCAGTTAGGAAAACTGCACCATCTAGGAAAAAACATCTGAATTTTTGGTGCATAACTAACAAAATTGAAGTGTTTGGCACATATTGACTCTGAATGTAAAATGACAGAAACATATTAGCATACTTCTCCCCTCGCCCCAGCCTCCCATTCCATTTTAAAGTGTCTAACGTTCCTAACAACTTCAGGAAGGGATAAACAACTGGCTACGCTTTGCCTTAGTAGAATGTGCATAACATTCTGTCTTACGTACAGCACAAAAAGGAAAATGTCTCTCTCTTTTTTTGTTCAAGTTGCACGTTTGAATTTTATCGCCTCAGATAAAACAGGAGAAAATGAGACAGATCAAACGCACGACGCTGAAAGTCTTAAGATGAGGCTGGAATTACAAGTCTCTTTGCTAGCAAAAAGCCTTCAAGGGGGAAAACCTTAAACCTTGATTCCATCTCCCCCTGGGGAAGGAGTCGCAGAGACGTAAGCCCCGCAGGTCCCTTTTTACTCCGAGGTAATATAAACTTTTTGGAGCTGTTGATTGAGTTTGATGGCCTGATAGGGAGGGCGCCAGTGAAAAGAGGTTGGGGAGAAGCGAGGCAGAAAGGGAGGTTCCCAAGGTGGGTGTGACCCGCAAATGGACTCCGCTGACCTGCTCCGGGAAAGTGTCCAGCCCTCGGGGCTTTGGGGGAAACTGGTCCCGATTGCCCGAGTGTGGAGGAATGAACGGCATAGCAGTGGGGCACCGGAAAATCAAAGAAACTTCCCGCTGTCAGATTCCACGCCACCGGCTGTGAACTTGTCCTTCGTGGAGGCGCCGATGACTGCGTGGAGGCGCGATCAGGCCCCTCGCCCTCCGGCGGGAGCCGCGCCTCGTTACCTCTTCTCCCAGCCGCGTCGCGCCACTACCGGGGTATTGTTGGGGCAAACAACCAAATTGAAAATGTCTTCTCATCTTTTTTTCTTTTTTTTTTTTTTTTTTGAGTTGGAGTCTCACTCTGTCGCCCAGACTGGAGTGCAGTGGCTGCTCCCGGCCACCACAGCCTCGACCTGCTGGGCTCCGGCGATCCTTCCGCCTCAGCCTTCCGAGTAGCCGGAATTACAGGCGCGCGCTACCACGCCCGGCTAATTTTTTTATTTTATTGTAGAGATGGGGTCTCGCCTGCTCAGGCGCGTCTCGAACCCGCGGGCTCAGGCAATCCACTTACCTCAGCCTCACAAGGCGCGGAATGACTGCTGAGCCACCGAGCCCAGCTTCTTCTCATCTTTATTACTCTGAAGAGCAGAAAGATTTGTGGAATACATCTCTGCCCTTGGTATCTCAAGTCCAGCACAGTGGATGGCTTTCTTGATTTCTTGACTCTAGTC